CAAGAATTGGTCGAGTGGTAATCAGAATTTGGACGAATTTATTCGTGATATCCAGTTGAAAGAGCAAAGATTCAACTTGGCCATTGAATGGATTCCTTTTGACAGATTAACCGACCTCACCCTCATCAAGCGAGGAGGATATGGCACCGTATACAAGGCCACATGGTTAGATGGGTACATAAACGAATGGGATTTAGAGAAGGAGGGATGGAAACGAGCAGGAAAGAAGACTGTGTGTCTGAAGCAAATTCACAATTCGAGCGATAACATTACAAAGGATTTTTTGGAAGCGGTAATGACCGTTACTTTATCATCGACATTCATTGTGCGACTTTTTACCCATCTATTAACTTTTTAAACATCCTTGCTTCAATAATTTAGATTCAACACCAGGTCAGAGCAAGAAGTACCCGTGTTATCTCAGTCTACGGTTTCACCCAGGATACGAGCACCAAGGACTATATGATTGTCATGCAATATTCGTCCGAAGGTAGTCTTCGGGAATCGCTGGATAAAAATTTCAACAGTCTATCTTGGTACGACAAATTGAATATACTGAAGGATAGCGCCAATGGCCTTAAGGACATCCACAAGTTGGGTTTGCATCGGAATTTGCATCCCGGAAATATTATCATGATTGATAAATCGACTCCAAATTTTTCCGACTTTGGAATGTGCAAACCGATAGGTCATTATAAATCGGCATCCGACCAGGTATACGGAGTTCTACCTTATGTGGCGCCCGAGGTCCTAGCCGGTCGAAAGTATACTCAAGATGCCGATGTGTACTCGTTTTCAATCATCATGTATGAGGTACTCACCGGTCTTCCGCCATATTATAACGTTCCGCACGATAGCTCGTTGGCAATGGAAATTCACAAAGGCCTTCGACCGGAATGCAACCCTGAGGGGATGCCGCCTGTGATTTTGGACTACATTAAACGATGTTGGGATCCGAGAACTAGCAACCGACCCACCGCCCAAGATGTTTTCTATAACATTTCCCAATGGCTTGAGAAATACAAAGATAAAGAGTCAACTTTGTACAAACAAATTAAAAATATCGAAGATTTGAAGGATTATTCCTCGGCTGACGCCGAGAAAAGGTCGGGCCCTCTCAGATATGAGATCAATCCTTCGGCAGTCTATCACAGTCGCTCCTTGGACTTTGCAGGCCCTAAAAACTCAGGTAGATGTTCAACACAGTACATCATTTATTATAAGTATTTCGAGTCATCATTGCTTACATGTAAATTTCTTAACGCTTTGTAGAAAAAGATATCTCCGGGAAAGCAAGATGTTGCAACACTGGTGTTCTTTCCAAGATTACATCGTTTTTCTTTTCTTCGTAGTTCGGTACACGGTGTCTCGATTTTTGTCTTATAAAAGTTTTCTGGTTTTCTTGTTTTATTCTTAATAATCGACTTTCTGTCCAATAAATTCAAACGCGCGAATGCCAATTTATATTTTATTTATATCATGTACAATACAGAATCTTTTTGCCAGTTCGCATGAGACATACTGTAAGTCAGAAAGTCACTTGGGATATTCACTAAATCAACATAACGAAGGTGCAAAAGGATTTAAGATGTAACACTATTTATTTATGAATAAAATTCTATCATATTCAAAATATTAAAAATTGCAAGATAGAATCATCGATTTGTTTGAATGCTTAGTAAGAGTTTCTAACATTTACAATTCATAGGATCTTTACTGTCAGTGATAAAATCATGCTTTGTTTCGTTTACATGAGAACATTAATAAAAGAAGTGGTTTTTATATCTTTGTGATCTTGATAATTTTACGGCAAATATTTGCCTATCGATTTTTTTTTTTAGAGTACAATAGAATTTTAATAACAAATAGCACAAATATGACAAATCTAAACAAACATGACACGATAATTATATAATCTATTTGTTTTTGTTTTTTTTTGTAACATCGTCCACTACTTGATAAACCGTAAAGATCAATTTTTTTCTCCTGACAATATTAATATATGGATTGTAAAATAATAATAATGACAGTATTTTTTTTTATAACTTTTATTTAAAAACAGAAAAAAGCGACCACAAAATTATTTAAAAATCAATATAATAAAATATGGTAATATATTTTATGTTAACAAAATCAGTTTTTATCTTTTTATTTTGGTGATTTTTTTGTTATC